AACTTTTCGATACAGAAATTTCTGTATCATTGGATGCCCTTGGTATAATATGATCGATCTACTATATACTCACTACATCTCATTGCACGTATATAGTATTTCAGTCTGCCAGCCCAATCTTCCGTACTGACACCAGTGGCAGGCACATCCCCTCTGCACCAAGCTTTTGTGCTTGCAAGATTGCTCGGTGCCACATCCCCTCTTCTGCCAAGCTTCACCTTTGGTGGTGGGAGCCCGGTGGTAAAGTCCTGGTGCACGTGGCCTCGTCAAACTGTGGCGCAGGAATTCCAAGATCCAAGCGACTTTAACACCACAACGCCAAGTCCGTTTGCTACCAACTTCTTGCCAACGAGGTGCCCAACAAGAAATTGGAGCTGGAAGGGTTTGTTCGGCTAGGAAAAGGGATCGCCAGATGTTTGCACCTGACCCTTTCAAGCACATGGAGCTATTGCATGCTATCAAAATTCAGTCACCAATTCAGTCGAAAAGCCCAGCCACATCCAGCCACTCACGACATGGCGAGGCCGAATGACTCAGAGACGGAAGCCACAACGAACGGAGAAGCAACCGCCGAAGACCTCGTCGCGGACCTCCAGGCCACTGGTGAACCAGGGAACCCACTAGGGAACGCCGAAAAAGCCTTCGAAGTCGACCATGACTCTGAATGAGAAAGGCCCGGTTTTGGTCGTGCAAAACCGTACAAACCAACCCTAGGGATCCAAGTACCTTCTCAGGTATGGTGATGGGAGACTATTTATGTAGGCTTGGAGGGCCCAGTCGTACCTCCTGAGGTTCGGTATGTGGATCCCTAGGGCAAGTAACGCTAGTTCAGATCATCGGACTGGAGCACGGTAGGATGATTGATCTGAGCACGGTGGATGTTTCGCATAGGCTTCATATCTCCAGTCCCTCGGATGGTCTGGGTCCCTCTGCTCCGCTTCCTCCCCGAGACCAAAAAAGCCCAAGTGACCGGTCAGCAGCGCAGTGATGCGTCCATGAGGCGCTGAGTGCTTCTGCACCAACCTGCAGTGATGAGTTCCATGCAGGTCTTACTAAGTGTCGTGTCGTGAACGTGGCAGTTCCATTGAGGGAAGAGCTGCCAAGAGGTTTTGTATGGACTCATATGACTCATATGTTTGGTTTGATCCTTTGATGTCAACTGGACGATCGATGACAAGATGTTTAAGAATGATTTAAATGTCAGGCAATGTCAGGAAAGCTCAATGGATTAATGCGTTACACTGTAACCTCCAATGGTATGCTTTCATTCTAGTCTTCGACTAATGACCCAGCAGAGCGCAATTGGTGACGACATGTCTGTACGTAGAGGTTTAAGGACTCTGAATATATTAAACATGTCCCTTTAAAAAGGCCAAGGAGCTTAACATAGACCATGCCGTTCTTCTTGGGTCTTCTGTTTCTAGATATTTGAAGCCCAACCAATCCAAATCCATCCAACAAATCCACAGTAAAGCCAAATCCATCCAAACCCACCTCCCCTCTGCCGGACCCAGCGGCTCTAGGAAGGCGTTGGTGGACGGCTCATTCCTCAGTGCGAGAGGCGTGGAAGATGAGAGAACCTGACGTCAAACACTTCACCTGTCGTGGATTTCTACATGTGTTCTTCTGCTCTGGGTGTTGGACAGCTTGGCCTGCAGGAGTGTTTCTGGAACTAATACTATGCTGTTATATAGACCTATAGTCACATTCTAGGGGCCATTTCATGTGATGTCAAAGCATGTCTTTGTGAGTGGAACAGCAGTGGATCCTGACTTCTTAAGTTTTGGCAAAAAGAGTGGGAAACCATGGTGAACGATAGCAAAGAGTTCTCTGACAAACAAACACATAGAACAACATAGAACACATTCCCTCCCAAAAGCTCTTGCAGGACTTCTTAGCAGGTCTTTCACCATGCTTGAAATAGCATCCGTCGACGGCCCCATCGTCTTCGCCATGGCTCTTGGCCGGCCATTTCGCGCGTCCCTCCACCGACGCCAGTTCATCCGTCATGAGGCCCCAGGAGCGGTGACCACACACCTCCTGCCAGCTTTTGGGCGATGCGTCGAGGCTGGTGGGGTGCGATGTGGTGCAGGTACGAACATGCACCTATAGCAACCAGTTGAAGTCACCCTCAGAGTCTCTATGGAAGTCATTCCCACGCTCTCATCGACACGACACCTCCGTCCTTGGGAGGCAGATCGACGCCTTCGATGCCACTTCGGAGTGGAGGGGTGCAAACTGATTGGGACTGGTGATGGAGTCCTAGCTGCTAGGACCAAATCCTATTGGTCCATATGTATCCATATGTCATATTGGTCCATATTGGCGGTCCTATGTAGCATTTCAAATTCGACCCCATGTTCCAGGACCAGGAAAACTCGCAGATTCTGCCGAACATTTGAGCTTAGTAGATGCTGAACTCCAGTGCCCATGAGGTCAATAACTCTGACCTGCTAGGGAGAATGAATTGACTTGAGAGAGGAGGGGGTGAACGAAAGGTAGCAGGCAATCACAAGTAACCCTGGTAGAAGTCCACGACGGCGTGAACCGGCGCAGGGGGGATTTGATCCAGGGGGGGGGGGGGCCCCCCCCCCCCGACGAACAGAATCAACTCTTACAGGACCAAATTCAATGCACAATCCCAACTCCTGATTGTAATACATTTTTGCTAAAGCAAGGAGAACTCAGGTAGCTCAAGCTACCTTTCGTGACATCCCCAACCATCATGGTGAGTGATATTCACTTGCAAGGAGATCCTATCAAATGGACCGAATTCCCTAAGGCCAACAGAAACGCCTTATATTCTAGCATACACTAGCCTATACTAGCCTACTCCAAAAGGAAAAAAGGACCCGTTACTACTCGAAAGAGGGGTGTGGAATCTTCGCACACTTCCAGTGCAGATTCCAAACACCATTCTGTGCTTCCAATTCCCGCCAATGACACACAAAAAGAAAGTCATGCCACTACACACCTATACAGCACCTGCATGTATATACACCTCTAGTGCTGATTATTGACCGGGTATACAACCTCGATCTACTCCCCGATCGAGAATGACGCCGTGCCAAGGCATACAACCCAACGCTGCCCAACCTGGCAAGGCTAGCGGGATGTGCAGCATGAGCACCACCGGCCCGGCCTGCGCCGTGCCCAAAGACCAAGAAGTGCAAAACTACCCAAAAAGCCATTCAAACATATTTCAGATTATTTCAGGACACCTGTACGTATGGATAGGGAAAGTATAGTTGATTGGGAGTGGTTGGTATACTAAGTTCATAGCACTTCCAACTCTTATGCAAATCCCAAACGCTCATGGACCCTCCCCGCACCCTCATATGGAGGGGTCCGGAACCGAACCAATCCCTATGCCCAAGGCCTATTTGGAGCATCTGGGATTGAAGATTCCCAGCCCCCACGCGTGCCGCGCCAGCTACTGCGACCCGCAACGCAGTGCTGACCCGCGCTGCGCCTGGGCTGATTGGCTCAGCTGCTTTTCGGCGAAGGCCAGTTGCTCCGGAGTGATCCTTGGATCAGATCGATCCTCTCGGAAAAAGACACGGAGGGGAAAACACAATGGAATACGGGATGCCTGAGATCAGCGGGGTCCAATCCCAACTTTATGTTTCTTTCAAAAACAACAGACTATACCTCTCAATCCACCTGATCATCCTAACTCTCAACCTTTTGGGACAAAAGCAACATGATGAACCAACAAAAACACACAAAAACAGGAACCCAAATTGGCCTCATCATCCTACTGCTGGTGAGATCCCATCACCGGACCTGCTGGTTGAGAAACCCATCCAGCAACCGACCATGGGTGAGATCCAACCGACCCTCCAATCCTTGGGCCGTCCGACGGCACCGTCAGACAGTCTGCGTCGGGTCAGACGATCCCACGGACGAAGGAGATGCTGTTAGGTGCCATGAGGAGATGCTGTTAGGTAGTTTTGTTTTCTTTGCAGGAATACTGGGTCTCACGATGCGAGGATGTCCCTGCGTGAATTCCATCCAATGACATCCAATGTCCCAAAGCAAAGCTGCAGAATGCTGCGCACACACATGCTACACATGCAGCATGGATCGGATCGCAACGCAGCAACTCACGATTCTCGGAGGTAGTTCGAGTTAAGCCACTGGTAGTTCGAGTTGTCAATCCACAGGATATCGACGCCTTTCACCCGATGTTGGCCAAACATCCTGGGGCGAAGCGGGTTATGGACCCATGGCGAAGTGAATCCACCGGGTTGGGCAGGCTAGGGTGGGTTGCCCAAGCTCCATATAAAATAACTCCTGTACCAGCAGTTCCATGGAGTTGGATGCCAAACTTGGAGGACAGGGATGATGGGACGAGCCAAACCATTTCCTTTGTGACTCCCGGTGCACTATGCAACTACTTTTGCAACTATCTGGCTCCCCCAGAACTTGCGGCTCAAATGCCAAAGAACATGCTTGGCAAAGCCTTATATCAATTACCAATTTGGTAATTGAGCCGTTTTCTTGTGGGGGGTATACGTGTCAGCTGGCTGACCTACCACCACAGGTTGATCGCGGCTGTAGAAGTCGTAATGAATCGCAGTTGTTTCTATCTGGGACGCTTCTGAACCAACACATTCATTGCTTCAAACTATCCTTACAATCTAATTAGGTGTCCTTCACGTGGACTGGTGTGTGTTTTTGTGCTCTTCTGGACAAACCGCATGATTCAGATTACTCGATGCCCCCCTGCCACCATCATCCCGAGATCGAGCTGTCTTGGCCGTGGGGCCCCTCATAGGACGTTCCACTGGCATGGTCGAAGAAAGGCTTCAAGGTGCTGGTCCTCATCGATGTTCTGTCGAAGCGGTGAACAAAAAAAACATTAGAACAGATTCCTTGGAAGAGGATTCTTCCCATGGGGAGAGTAGATATCCCATGATATCACCCTATAGGTCCTAAGCAACACCAGGTTCAACTTCCGCTGTCCGCATGCGATCCGCTACAAATTTGCTCACCGCCTGACTGTGTGTGACTTAATTTGTCGAGTGGTGTTTGAGGTTCTGAGACTGACTCCGCCCATGGGAACAAAAAAGAACATATTGCCACTGTCATGCTTTGGAATTGCTTGACCTTGGTTTCCTGTAGTATTGGCTTGCCACGTCACAAGCATTGACTTCTGCCACGGGAAAGGCATCCATTTGCAAAACAAATTACTTTTATGAGACAGTTTTGTCCAAATAATCATGCTCAACACCACAAAGTCAACTAAGACAAAATCTCTGGTTCAAGATAAGTCTTAGTTAAATTCGCTGTGTGTGGTCATCAGTGAGAGCTGTTCGTTGTCTCAAAACAGGTTCAACTATACATGTATTCTCTGAGATAAAGACACCGGTGACGTCTATTGTGGTGCCCAAATAGATACAGTAGAAATGGCTTCCAATACATTGCTAGTGGGGATCTAAACTGTTCTGTCTATTTGGGGGTCTATATTGGTCTATATACAGAAAGCTCAACCAATGCAGCCAGGGTTCAGCCGTGGAATGCGGCTGCTGTCGTACCTCATTTTGGCTGCAGTCAAAATCGTTTTTTCTGATCGGAATACAAAACACTGACGATGAGACCATTTGAATTTATTTGTACCTCTCTTGTGGTGCATTTGCATGTTCTTTAAAAGTGTTTTTCGTTTGATCGATACCCAGGTCAGAAAAAGGTGGTAGCAAAACACACCGACGCACGATCATTCGTACAATATCATACATAATCGTACTGCACGCTGATGTAAGCAGGATCACACCAACCAGTTCAAGTCCCAAGTCATGTCTTTTGCACTCGTCTTTGGCCACATGGACATTCATTGCCATGACCCCCCCAAAGACGGAGTGACCACATATACCACCACCCAAAAGCTCGCTCCACGCCTCCACCCACCAAACCCTTCCCGGTGCTCCTCGAACGTCGATCGCTCGCTCCGCGGCGGCCTGGGCTCCTTGACGAACTCCAAATGCCAATCCTCGAGGCTCGCCCCGGCGATCCCGGTCGCCCCCGGTCGCCCGCCGGCACCGCGTCGCGGGGCTCGCGCTGGGTGGGGAAGAAGCGAAGGCCGGGAAGCGATGGCTGGGCGCCGGTCGAAGCGATCCGAAGTTCGGATCCAATTCGGCACCCAGAGGTGACTTGTGATATAGTCCGGTCTGACCCAGGTCCAGTCTCCAGGTCTGGCCAAAAAGCCGAAATGGTGTAACATCAGGAAAACGAGGTCCTCCACCTGTATACGGTGGGTTTTTGGCTCGTGAAGTTCTACCAGCACCATGGCTGGATAGGGATCACCTGGCTGGAAGCCCCTATCCGAAAACTCGAGGTTTAGGACGTCCAGGGTTTCAGGTTCTTTACTTAGTAATGGATCCTCCGAGACGATTCGACTCTTGAAGACTTGCCACTCCAAGACAGACCGTGGCCCACCCATCTTGTTCCGGTTTCCTCGGGGATTCCAACAGCTCGGGACAGTGAAAGGCTGCGATCGATCCTCAAACACCAAGGGAATTAGGGGTCATCTTAGGGCCCTCGTTGGTGCCTGGAGGTCGTGGCACATTCCAACCCAGAAAGGCTCTATAGGCTATAGTTAGGTACCTGCTGAGGATGGTCTTCAAAGAGGTGAGTATCACCTGCTTCCAGAGAATGGTCCAACTGACTGGTGCCGACGGCATTGTTATCTGAGCCAACTCGGAGGGTTTGACCGGGATCTTTCAGAGGGCCCTTTCTGTCAGGTCGAACTTCTGACTCTGCTCTGGGAAGACAGATCCGACTGTGGGAGTTGTTTGCTCAACCTCTGCTCCAAACCTCTGCTCCAAGCCAAGGATCATGGTTGCCAGCCTTGGTGGCGTGATTTGAGGATTCAGTTTGGATGAGGATCTGCTCAAACTCAGATGGAAGTTAAAAAGCCAAGACTTTCAGGAGTGAGTATATCTCATCAAAACGTCCAGAAAAAGAAACACATTGTATTTCACCAACCTGAATGCTAATATCTTTAAATTGCACATATTCAGGGAGTGAGGCAGAATTGACCATCCCATCCTTAAGCCTAATCAGCACCGCCCTCCGTCGGGATGGCTTGAACCCCCTTCCACATATCGAAGGATGTAAGGCTTGGCTGTCCAGCTGGTCCTAGCTGCTAAGGGTTTAACCTTAACAAAAGAAGACTCTGGTGGTTTAGTAAAGTCGGTTTTAAGAGTTAGCTATTTATATAACCTTTATAGTGCAATTGCTAGTGATTTCGTAAGACATCCCTTCTAAGAGCCAGATTTTTCGGACCTGTTTCGGGTCTGGTTGAGTAGCCACTTTCGGACCGTCACGTATACGTAGAGCATCCTGGCTGGCGGAAGTGGAGGACTGCGGTGCCGCCGAGTCGCAGTGTACAGGAAGGGGATGCCACCAGCGGCATCCTGCAGCAGCTTAAAGGCTCTGGTGAAGTTCTCCCACATGGTCCATGATCTAATACATAAATAACTATCATATATATATGCATATCATTTCCATCTATACAGGTGTATAAATCATTACAGTAATATTTATGATGATCCTGAATCCATGCACTATAGAATATGAATTCAAATGTGCACGGGAGGTGGCATTGACGTTCTTCTTTTTTGCATCACACTTTCTCATTCTGGCTTGGTTTGCTGGTGGACTTGATTTGCACCACAAAACAAGCACCGACTTGCCATGGAACGATCCTTCTCTGAAACAGCAGCCCTCGATCTGCAAACAAACACATGGCCTGGACTTGGGTTCGGAACATGCTCTTCCAGCAAAACATCCAGTTGAAAACAAACGAGTCTTCCATGGGTTGATCCTGAAAACTACTGGTCTTGATCCTGAAAATTACTGTCTTGGATCCACGTTATGTAATCCTCCCGGGAATACGGGTGTATGACTAAATAACATGGTTGTTGAGGAACATCGTCTCGCATGGAGTAGTTTTCAGGATCCATATGATTAGTCTCCAAGAGGGGAGACCAGTCGGCATCGTGGCATCGTGGTATCGTCCCGACCGTTCTGGGAGGTTCCAACCTGAACATGTAGAAATGGCTTTCCCAGCTCGAGAAGAAGACATGTTGTGCACTCATTTGGCTCCAACGCTCCCTTTTCACAGGTCTTTCTTGTCTCCCACAGTCTGCCTGCAGCTGCTGCAAGACCCAAGCGACTTCCGTCTCCTTAGAAGTCGCAAAAAACTTCCATCTCCACTGAGAAACTCAAGCTTCCTAGGAGTCCGGGCCCGGTTCGCAACCCATGGGGTGTTGAGGGTCCGACCCCTGCTATGGAGGGCGCAAGGATTCTTGGGGTTTGTTAGCTTGAGGGCCGAAAAGAACCAGACATGGTCAACCCAGACATGGTCTTTTAGGGCTCGGGGTGTCATGATGCGCCATGCTGTCCGGCCATGCTGTCCACGCTACATACTGACCTGTATAGGGCTAGCTTCAGTACAGTCCAAGCCGGCTGGAGGCCATGCCGGCTGGGATTGCCAACAGATCCTCTTGGTCTTGGAGTTTCAGAAACCGCTTTCCATGCAAAAATAGCCGACAAATCCTCCTGCGACCGAGCAAGTGGCTGAGGGATAGTTGATGATGTCTCCACCCAGCGCAATCAAGTCCTCGGCGGAGACTGCTGATGTAGGGGGTGCAGCAGTAGCTAATCAAATAGGACATGATCGAACACCCAAAATGGGCTAGGGTTTACACATGACAGTCAAAATAGAAGTAGACTTCATGATGTGTCCAAATAGATTGTGTCAAACATGCCTATCTACTCCAGGATGAGACACCAACTGTTGGAACGCAGTTCGTTTCCATCTGTGCACGCGTTGGTCACCTCCATGAGTTGTACGTATTATATGTGACTGCATGTGTATACAGTACTCTATAGACTCCAAAAAGGTCACGTCAAAACATCCAACCAACTTGTCTAGTGCCTCACATGCTCATTCTGTGCCACTCCCGCACGCCATGCACCACCTTCAGCCGTGGCACAACTTTCAATTCTTTGGCTTTCTGGAACAGCGAGACCAGCCTGAGTCTGATTCATTGCTGAAGGAGACCAGAAAAGACGTGAAGAGATGAAACACCTCCTTCAATCTGCAACTTGAGATGAAACCATGCCTTTTCGAGTGGATACCATAAGCCGGTGTCACCAATCCTCAAGAGCTTGTTCTAGATAGCAGCCACGAAACCAGGTATTGGGGGACTAGTCGGACTAGTTTATCTTTTTTCAATTTGTATACCTTGGGTCATCCTCTTACCAGTAACAGTGGATGATGATCGTTAGTAAAGAAAGGCCTTTCTCTAAAATTTGTGATACACTCCGACTCACTAACATGGAAGTGGAAGGCACCCCTGTGTGTAAAGGAAAGTAGTCTTCCTTTCGGGGCCATGCCATCCACTTCCATGTTGTAGCACATGTGATGTGTTCGTCAGGGTGTAAAAACCACTCTGATAGAGGGGGTCTTATTTATTAATCAACAGTCTACATGAATGGGTGGATGTATGGGTAGATGTATGGTGGATGTGAGTCAGGGTGTATATAATTGTATACCGATCTCCTACAGGACAGACCCAAGATGTATCCCTTCTGAGGACTCCTGAGGAGAACCCAGAGATCTTGGCCCTGGCCACTAATCGAATGCACCGTCGGTCCGTATGATGTGGGCAGGTGCCAGGTGGGCAAGTCACACAGCCATCAGCTGGGGGCCTTTGATAAGCATGTTGTATGAAAAACAACGGGTCAACTACAACTCTGGCAGGCCCGATTCGCCAAATCTACCTGCTATCCTCTACCCTGACTCAGGGAAAACAAACAAAGCCCGCTCTGCTTGTCACTGTTCCTCTGGTTGTCACTTTGCATGAGCGCTGTGAGTGATGTTTCTTTCTCAGGGGACAGTGTTCTTTGGTTTACTCTGACGATGGGTCCGTATGCTGTTGGAAGGAAGAAGGACTCTTCCAGCAATACCCTTCATACCGCATATATCATAGACCTACAAAGCACACTCAGATATATACCTACATATAAATATATATATACCCTTCATATACCTACTACACCTAGCAGTGATAGCCAATCCCCACGAGACTCTCCCCCCTAAAAGCTGGTCATGAGAGTCACCCTCTCTCCCCCGGAGGTCCCCCTCGCTCCGTCAGGCGGCTGATCGCAAGGCCTCTTCTGCTGGTGTGTCTCCATGTCCTCGCGATGTGTGTTGAACACGACGAGCAGGATGGATGAGCAGGTAGAGCAAAGCAGAGAGGCAGAAGTTAGAGGCAAAGACAAACAGGCAGCCTACAGTTACTACCTAGCAGAAGGTAAGGATGAGAAGCAGGTAGAGCAAAGCTGTACCAGCAGAGGTCAGAGGTAGCCCTATAGATTAGCCCAGAGGTAGCCCAGGTTTCGGGTCCGGTAAGCTCCCTCTTGACCTCTCTTGGTCGCTTTTGAACAAAGGCCGAGTGCTTCCATCTTCTCCACCCTGCGACATCCTGATGCGTTTGGGAGGCAAATGGTCGCATAGACAGAGATGCAAGGAGCAGAGTCAACTTGTCATGTTTCTCATCGTACAGGTAGCAACGCATCTATCACCACGGCCTGTTCACTGAAACAGTGATGAAAGTCCAACAAACATGAGAGTGTAACTTTAACCCACGCAAATACTGACCTACAGAATCTTCCCCGCGCACCGAATAAACTACGCAAAAACCAAGAGACTTCACCATGCTGCCTTGAACTTCCAGCACCTCAACAACATCAACAAGGTTGACGACATTAACATGTTCCACATGTTCACCGCGCTCTTCTCTAGTCAAAAGCCGGCTCCTCAATGCTTTTCATCGCATCGAACATGCGGTGCGTGTGCGGCGGATCTTCGTCGAAGCGCGAGACGTGGCTGTCCTTAGCGAAGCGGAAAGGAGATCCAAAAGGACCAGAAGTTGCTGGGAATTCCAAGTGGAAAGAAGGCAGCGAAGGCCAGTCGGCCGAGTGGTTCCAAATGGTCAGTAATAGTAATGATTCAACGGAAATAATTAGAGAGCGGAACGCTTGATGCCATTAATCATGTGGCAATGCCATTCACCCTTGATGCCATGACTGCTAACGTCCTTTTCTGAATCATTAATGGTCCCACCGGTTCTTGCATGTTCCTTCTGGCTTCACCGATTTCTGGCTTGTCGCAGGGGACTTGCCCTCAAAATGGGGATGACGGCCAGAACGGCGGCCATTCCAAACCGGCCACGTTGCACTGAAACAAGCCAGTCCGAAATACACAAGAACACTAAGATGTAGTATAGACTATAGTCCAAGTATAAGTGTACATACAGTGTCCGTAATGTAATACTTCCACAGCATAGATCTCCATGTGGAGGGCACCAAGAACAGGCCATCCGTCCAAGTGTCCGTGATGTGGAGGATCCGCAAATCCCCATCCTCCTGGCGTCCCATGGGATCGAGCGAAGCGAAGGTAGGTATAGGGTCCTTCTTGGCAGGAAAATCTGATGTGGATCACATTCTGGGCAAATCACTGCAAACGCCTCTTCTTCCTGTTGGTTGTGAAGCAAGTTGCAATGTCAACATATTACCACACCAAAAGTCACTTGCCTGGTAAGCATCTCTGTTTAGATCAACACATTGGTGGGCAGCTGAAACTGCTGTGGGTGTGGGTCATTACTGTTGTTGTGCAAAATCCAGTCATATAAACATGAATCTCCTTCATTGTGTACTAGCTGCAGGCAATTATCCCAAGAACTCAGCTTGCACATGGCGCATGAGTTTCTTAACCAGCACCTCCCACAGTCTTGCTTTTGGATGGAATATGATGGAACATACATTGACATGGTCAAGGGGGGTCTATAAACCACAATTGGGTGGTGCTGGTAAGTGTTCTTTTCACTCCAGCAGCAAGGTGTTAGCCCACCGACCTCAACATCCAAGCTCTGGCGGAAGCTGGGAGCACCAGAATGGCCCTGGCAGGGCGCCACGGTGTGGCCCACGGCGTATGGCATCGGTAAACCACGGATTGTGTCAAGATGTGTCAACCGACATGCCTGTTTTTGAGTTATGCACATCAAAAAGACCCAAAGGTAGGTCCCACCCTCTCATGGGTTTGCAAGAATAAATAGACATGGGTTTTAGCAACACATGACATCACCAATAATTTACTGTATAGCTATTTTGATGCCCCAGGTCCAATTAGTCACAAATTGTCATGTTTAAATGTTAAATCCATTTTTATGAACACTACGTCGTACATCTCTCACTCAGAGAAGGACTCAACAGTGGTCAAGTGGTCCACCAAACCGCCCTCCAGGAACGTGGACAAAAGTCGACCACCCCACCTCTCGCACCTCTTAGGGGTGTTGCAAGGCACGAAGTCTTGAAGGAGTCTCCAGTATATAGCATGTTTTTTTTTAAATGGTTGATGGGTCACCAACCAATTCGAGTCTCACTCCCTGACCAGTCTCCCATCAGGGCATGGCCTCCGAAGACTCGGCATGACCAACGGGGTCAATAGCTGGTGGTGTTCACTCCACTCAAGGGAGTCTACAAACCAAAGCTGGTTTCTACCACCAGTTCCCTGGTAGTGTTCACAACTGCTGGTGGATTTCAGGGACTCCACAAACCCAAACATGGTTTGACCAAGGCATCGGCATCGGTCATACCGCGGACCACGTTGTTGGTTTTTGGACGAACAAATGCGTTCACAAGCTCTGAGGGTAGGCTGAGGTAGCATCAACCTCGTATGAAATGCAACATGCAAACACTCCTCTGCAAAAAGCACCTTTTGGCTTGGAACTCCATCTATTCGAATTCTATTGAAAACTCGATCTAATTACCTCTCGTCTATTCAAAACAACTCACTTTGCCACCATTTCTCTAACCCTTGAAAAACATATCCGACGGTCAATCCACAGACCCACCCCACCTTGGGGTGGCTTTGCAAGGGTGTCCAAACCACCTTCGCTTCCCTGAGCAGCCGGGAGCGCCATTCGGACCGCATCGATGGAGGAGCCCTACCGGGTGCCCGGGTGCTCTAGAGGAAAAACAGCATGGTGCAGGACATGTCATTTGAAGAAGGGAAAGACACGTGTAACAAAAACTCTGTAACAACATGTGTATATGTTGGCCCAATTGGGCCAAGAAACTTCTCTCTGATGGATGAATCCTGCAGCAATTCAGAAGGTAGAACAGCCCGTAATAGCCCATTGTTGAGATCACTTCATGCTTCTGCTTGAACCAATTGGGTAATTGTTTTGCTTTTGAAGATCCTGCGGGTCCCAGCCCTTCAGTCACGAATCGGAACCGTCTCCGTGTCCGACCCGGTCCCCCCCCCCCCTGCGTTCGAGAGGCGTCTTCGTGTAGCTGTGGCTGACCTGGCGGGGTGCCAGCCGTGCCGTCAAGAGCCTTCAGGTGGCTGAGTGTCCTTGATTTTTCGACATTGCGGTGGTCAAACATACTTGGTATCCTTTTGGTCATCTATTTGGTCTTGTTATGTCTTGGTCCTTCGTTCTTGACTTACACATTGCATTTTTTCCGCGATGTTTTAGGCGGTATGATTAGGTTGCTCATGTAGTGCTGCTCACATGAAGTGGTGGGAAATCATGTCGACTCAGCTTCATGAACCTGTCGGACATGATGGGACAGCTTGGGCAACTGATCAATGAACATAAACGGATAGCAAACGAGAGACTTAACCTCTTTTTCAGTCTTCTAATTACTTTTTCTGACACACTGGGGAACATCATTGTGCATCATTGTTTTCAGTTTATGTTATGATCTGGCGTGATTCCCACACGCCTGGCATCTTGGAAGGTGCTTCCCTGTGCCAAAGAATTAAAGGACCGCTCTTCCTACCCTTTCGGGACTCTCTCCCGGTGGTTGCCCCAGCTTGGTCGAGTGTTGAGGAGTCCATCCAGGCACCGCGTCGGACCTCGCCGACCAGTGACCTCGCTCGCCAAGAGTAGGTATGATTTAGGTCACGAACTGAAGAACTAGGCATGATTGTATAGAACTGGAGGGCCAGGTTGTGCTTTCTCGCCAAGTTCGATCAGCTCGCCAAGAACCAGGTATAGGCATGATTTATCTTGCTTTTCTCATCAGCCCTTTTTGTCCGTGCATTTTGATGCATTTTGCACATTGAAGACACTCCTGATGGCCTCTGACACCAACGGTCCAACGGTCTAATGGCTATGGGCTTCGCTGAAGTCAACACGTCTTTGAACTGCGGTCACACATAAGGTCCCTGTGGTTCCGGGGTTCACGAGTTTTCCCCCCTCAACCTGCAACACGCCCTTCCCTATAAAGCTTTTGGATGCAGCATGTGTCCGTCCCAAAGTCCCAGCTGTCAATGAAACCATTCCCCAAACAGGCTTTCGAAGGTCTTCTTACCTCAGCTGGTGTTTTGGAGGTTCCTGGGCTGGTTCCTGTCCTACCCAAAGTGGGGTCGAACACCGGATCCCTCGGTCGAAGACCTCGCATTCCGCCGCAGCGACCGTCAGCTCCGTCGCCTGGAAGGTCAGCTCAGCAGCGACCGATCCTGACAGTAGAAGACATGACCTGGGCCGATGGGGCACGGAACCGGCCGAAGAAAGGCTGGTCGAAGAAAGGCGGGTTGGTTGAGCCAAGCATAGCTAGACTAGATTCAATGGAGATCTCGAAGTATTGGGCCACAACATAGACTGTTGATTAATTACATAAACGCCCACCAGTCACCAGTACATACCTAGATGGTAAAAACATATGGGGAGTCGCTTCATCAACAGTAAACATATTACAGGTTCATTTGCCATTTCAGGAGATCTGTTACACGTCCTTACACATTTGTCACTATTCTTGGGAACAAAGATCTGTTACATGTCTTCTCCTCTTTCAGTATGGTTAGGAACAAGGAACAACACTCCAGGTCTGGCTTCAAAAATGAACATGACAACTCACCTGCAAGCAAGGATCGAATTGGTTTGGCTGCAAGAAATTGCAGTGCTTCTACCTGCAGTCCTTGTCCATCAAGAAAGCATGTTGCCTACAAATGCACCTTATTCTGTCAACAATTCAGAAACACATCCCATCACGGTCCCTCTTTCAGCTTCTTGCCCCAGCACCAGAACCCTCATTTCGATCCGCACGCACCGATGAACACCGCCCCGGTGCCAGCCCTCCGCAGCGTGCCAAGACACACCGCCCGCATTGGTGCGAGGGTTTGGCGGTGTCACCGCACTCTTTGGCTCGAGCCGATGTGGCTCGGATGGAATGAAGCGTCCAGCATCTGACTATATAGCAAGGTGGATCAAGATGGTGTTGGGTGACTGGATCTAAGTTCATGGTTTTCGATCTTCTGAGTCTGATAATAACCATGGTTGCAGACTTTAAGTTGATATATGTGTTGAACGTGTAAACACTGCAGAGTATAAGTGTTCGATGTGCTTGAATGTATCATGCGGCAGCGTCGTCCTATCAACTCAACTAGCAAATCCGCTTATATACATACATCTCATTCCCCTTCATGGATTAAGGCAAACATTCAATTCCATTGTACAGAAAACAAACCCCAGCAAAACAAAACTGGTGAAGATTCCGAGAATGTACCCTTCTCCTCAGCGACAACAAACCTGTAAACAGTTGTTTGTCTTGTTGTTTTCTTGCGGCCCCCAGATGGGAAGACAAGGACCCCCACTAAACCTGCGCGGCGAATCTTGGCAATCCATTTTTGGGGACACCAATTTTCGATTATTCTCGCGCGGGACATTCTATGACCCTTATACTTCAGGTGTAGGCTGTATCCCACTCACATCCTCTCTAAGCCTCCCTGCACATCACACCAACCCACATCTCACCATGAGCAGATCGCCGAAGAACCAGATCGCCGAGAGAACGAAACATGGAAAACACAAGTGTTCTTCGATAGACATCTCGTAGAACTAATGGTGATCTGTTGGGTTTAGTTGTTCTACTCATGTTGCATGTTACACATGGTTGTTTCACGTTGTTTATTGAGTGATGCACACTTGCCGTCTTAGTTCTCCTTACAAGAATGTTTGAGCTGCACCTCTTGAAATCAATGGTTGACACCTCCTCGTACTGTAAAGGCCGGATCAAGCTCAGGAAAACGAGGATCTACCAACATTTTCTGCTGTATCTTTTGGAAACCAAACCATGACCAACAAAAGCTCCAACAGCATCACATGTTCATGCCCCCATCTTGGCAGTGCTTCGCTATATCCCTTCTTATCCCTTCTCAAGGTGAATGCAGTAATTGTTTCCACAAGAAACAATTGCAAAAATCATGTGCTGGTTTGCCCGCTTGGTTTCCACATAGTCCTCCCATGTCGTCAACCCAATCAACATCCAATCTTGTCTGGTCTTCCCATAGGTTGGAGTACTACTTGACGGACTAGACCGACTGCAAGTGATAGCTTTGATCTTGGCCTAACATGAGAGTAGGCTGCTTTGGGGTCAACTTTCACTTTCAAACGATCACTACATAACTTCTGCATGTGATCGAACCACGGGTATCCCAAAGGTTCTTTGGAGTCAACAATATCGACTTGAACGTGGGCATCTCCGGGCTGGAATCTTAACCCAATTGGCCCTTGACAATCCATATGAGGTATCAATGACATATCCATCCAGGAGTCATAAAGAAGCCTGTTTTTGATTCCAAAGCACACTCCGGCTACATGGACCTTTTTTTCCCCCACGCGATGCGCCGGCTTTGCAGTTGTTGGCAAACACCGGATGGCGCCGGATAGCGCCGTGCATTGATTGAGGTACCCTGAAGGGTGAAGTTGATATAGTGAAAATCCATAAGGTTCTTTGCTAAAGGTGGCACGACCCCTGAAACCATCATGGACGTGGATGGCATGACCCGGCCCCTTGGAAGATCATGTTCATCGACAAATAGGTTTTTTTTCCACTATACCTCCATGTCTTTCTCACTCGGAGTGTAGCCTTAAGAGTTGTTTCATGCTGTCTCCATCTACCGTTACCCGCGGTGTGTCTCTGAAATGCACTTATTGAGTATCATCTACGTATCACCTACTTGTCACATCGGGGCGCCAACGTGACGACGAAGCTCGAAGCTTCCTGTTGGTGTATTGACAGGACTTGTTTAGGACTTGATGGGTGACATTGGAGCTTGTTTGCGTGTAAAAACAACAACTTTCTGATCAACATAGCACAATCATCTCTGGGGTCTTCCCCTAGATACTGGAGGTATCCTTTAAAGCCACTTGTGGGTCCTTCGCCATGCAATTCAATTCTCCCTCCGCCCACGAGCCATGAAAAACACTTCAACACTCCATCTGTACACTCCTTTCCCCCCCGGCCTGATGCTCCTTCTTTTTCGTGGGATCCTCCACCTGCGTGGAACTGGCAGTGAAATCCCAAAAACGCCGCCGTGTGCCCCGCTGACTTGGGCGCCGTGGATCCAGCATCGCGAGACGAGTTGCGTGCGACGAGTTGATTTGACGTCCCTCGGACCGAGGCTGCTCGGTGTTTCTCCCGAGCGGCTGCGTACCGGTCGCGAACTCCTTATGATCCTTGCGACGCTGATCCTCTGACGTTCACCGGGTCCTAAGGAATGCCTAGAGGCATTATGCCTCAGGTCAACTTGTCATTATCCAAACGCTGCTGTAGGATGCCATCAAGGACCAAATGACTAGTGTACGTAGAGATGTTAGTTGATTCGGACGCCGGGAATGCAACATATATCTTCCCCATGGCAGAATGGGGATGCACCCGATCCGCCAAACCCCATACAAAGGTGTGTCGCGGATTTACGAGTTCAATCTGATGCTTGTTGAGTGAAAGCAAGGATAGTTAGATGATAGAAGCAAGAACATCCATCGCATACCCCGCGGTTGTTGAGGGATGATCTCCTACTAACTCCCTCTCTCCGTTCCGCGACCATCCGCCACCTGCGTTTGTGAAGCGACGGTCACCTGGCGGAAGGCCAAGCGCGGTGGTTTTGGCCGACCGGGTCCTTCTCTGGACCTAGGGACTGACTGAGGTACAGCGAGGTTCTAAACAGCTCGCCAGCGAGAGGAATTTGCCAGTACAGCGAAGGAGAGATGGTTTCTAGGGGAGATTGATTCCAAATCACGATTTAAATCGATTCCCAACATCATGGATGAAGCAACTCCAAGGACATATATGCAGCAACTAGGGCACCATCTTCACACATGCCCCCCAAAAAAGGTAGACCCAGGACCCCCGTTGTTCAGGCTCCTTTCACCAGGCATTGCTGACATGGGCGTTGAACCCTCTGACGAGTCCGTTGAGTGGCATCAGAGGACTCTCAAGTGATACTGACTCCCTCCGTTTCCCGATGCCAAAGAAAGGAAAAGGTTGAAAGAGTTAGCCACTGACTGGTACAAATACAGCATCACAGCAACACCTTTCAGCTCACAGGACTTGCAAACAGGAAAAGAGGATTTGAGTGATTTTGTTTCCGGAACATGTCCAACAACCTCCTCACTGTAGGCATGCTAGATCTTGGCTAAAACACTTGCTCCCGCAGAAAAATGCGCTTTGGTGCTAGGTTTGAATCTGCAAATTCATGATCAACATCCGCAATCTTGATCATGTCCTAGATGGTCAATGAGTCAATACCAAACAATCTACTGGATAGGAACAGTTGCCTTGTACACATGCTCTTTTAGTGAAATTTGCAGTTCCATGGATTGTGTGCATGGGTATACATGTGTTTGGAGGTTTGGAGAGACAAGCCTTGGAGTTACAACACAAATGATGCAAAGGTTGCAGTCGCAGTAGGTAGGAAAAGACATTACAACATGCCAGGCATCGTTGCCATGCGATCCGCAACTTTTCGGTTCTCCATGTCTCCATCAACACAGACGAACGTTGCCTTGGGCTGTGGTGGAGGTGCTGGTGGGGCTGGCTGCGGCACGCACAGCGGCACCATCTGGTGCGCGGGCGGAGGGGAGCGAAGAAACTTGCGTCAACAGCGGCTGGAAATGGACTTCTAAAGAGAATGTGATGTCCAGCTGTTCATTTGCAGGTGTTCAACGTCCCTTACAGTCCCTTACATGGCAATCTGCCAACAACCCCATGGATTATATTTATAACACTTGAAACATTGACTACCTTCAAGGTCAGAGGATCTGTTGTTGGGTCAAAGCCACCGTTGTCGACTTGGATTTAGCTGAATGAGCCTGGAAAAACTAAAGCAAAATTCACAAGAAGGGAATTTACTCGTAGGGAAAAGAACACATCACCCAATACCAAGTTGAAGCTGCTTGAATCATGTGGCTGGATCATGTGTTTTCGCCGCGTTAAGCCACAATCCCTGTAGCTTCAACATGGCCTGAACCAACTCTTTCATCTCTTTGGGGATGGGTCAAAGGCCTGGAGCAAGTGAGCAAAACTCCTCAGCTAGGTCAACCGGCCGGTATGCCAAGGTAGCTTGACCCCCTTCCGTCCTGTTCCAGGCAGCTTGATCCCACTCAAGCCCTCCCTACACTCCCTGAAAGCATCATGCAAATGCAAGGCATGGCCCGACGCCGGATGACAAATCTTCTTTCTGAATGAGCAATCTGGTGGTAGTTTTACGTAGACATCCACTTAACCACGACGATTTCAGGGAGTGTTCTGGCTGATCCCCCCCAAAGCATGCACACCCCTCGAAGACTCCTCTCAGATAGACACGCGAAGGCCCTGTCAGACCATGTGAGGCGATGTCCCTCTCAGCACCAACAAGATCCCCCCTTGTCACCACGAAGGGCATGTCAGGCTATGTCAGGCAGGCGATTTCCCTCTCAAGGCCCACGTATGATCCACCCAATCATCACCCCATTCACTAACTGCACCGTGACGTCCCACCTGCATCGGTGCGCTCTTCTGATCCGCCAGCGCCGCCACGTAGGCCTTCCGCTCCTTGCAGGATGGCCCGCGGAGGGCCGCGGAGGAGGGAGGGGGAACTGAGCCTTGGAAACCATACGTTTACGTCACTAAGGGCATAGAACAAAAGAATCTATAAGGAAGTACAATTTTGTTGAATTGGAGCTCCTTATTTTTCTCTGACCGGATTGGATTGCTGGTGCTTGTCTCTGTAGTATATGTCACATGTCTCTATCAAAGGTCTCTTTATATACAGTACAGGTTGCAAGCCCATGGACACGCCCTCCATTCTCGCTTCATCAAACCCATCAGGTGCTCTTCTTTGTGGGCCTCTCCCTTACAATAGTCCTTCTTCTTAAGGAACCATCATGTGGTATATGGGGC